GCGTCACCAGGCGATTGAACGTCGCCGGGGCGTTAGACAAGCCCTGCGGCATGACGAGCCACTCCCAAAGCATGCCGCTTGGAGTGCTTACCGCGGTGAGCGGGATGTCACTCTCTCGCATCAGGATTTGGTAGTATCCGTCTACCAAATCCAGCGCACTGTACAGTACGCTCCCGGCCATGTTGTTCAACAACACATCCTTTCGTGGGATCGGTGTTTGGGCCGGCACCGTTGCGTTGTTCAGCTTGTTATAAGCGTGAACCAGACGCCACTTTCCGTTCGGCTTACGAACGCAGAAAGTCGGCGTCGAGTGCGGGGATTTCGACTCCCGCACCATGCCTGCCTTCGCTTTCGCGGCGAAGAAGGCATCAATGACCTCGCACTGTTCGCGCGGGAGAGGCCATTGCCTCGTGACACAATACTTTGTGCCGGGCACGAGATCAATCTCGTGCCGTACGCCTCGATCCGGTGGGAGCTGGGTCGGTGGGTGTTTATTCACCACGTCCGCATACTCCGTCACCAAAGGATACACCGGATCCTTGGGGTTCTTGAGAATCTCAGAACCCAAGCGCGCCTGACGCTGCTTGTTCATGTCTTCCAGGACGTTCTCGTCCAAGACAGAGGAGGAGTTCAGCTCCTCCTGAGTGGTCTCAGGTCTTATGAGTACCATCTCAGCGATCTCTCCAGCCTTGAGGTTGGCCAGGAAAGACTCAGCCGTCATTTCCTCGAGGTTCAGTATCTCTGCAACCTCTGGCAACTGTTCCAAGTGGACACCAGATGCCTTGACGGGTAAACCCGTCTCGCTATCGAAGATGTGATAGCACTCTTCCACCGGCCTTGTCGGAGGAGCCCGGGCCCTGGACTCCGAGTCGCTTGAAGCGACGTCGATCGGAACGAAGTTCGGATCCGACTTGAGGCGGCGGCGGCGTCTTTGCCGACGGCTTCTGTGACGGGGAGCTTTGCTGCCCACGTCTAGGGATGTCGTCGCTACGACATCCGAGGCACTCGTGGCCTCGTGTGGTACTGTTGTACCCACACAGGAAGCGTGTTCAACGCCTTCCTCTTCAGTTAAGGTCTGGGCGACCGCGTGTGGCACTGTGTTACCCACACAGGAAGCGTATCCGACGTCTTCCTCTTCAGTTATGGTCTGGGCGACCGTGAGTGGAACTCTGTTACCCACTCTGAACACGCTGTTCTCAGTGTTCATGACAGCTGCAGCTGTCTGCGGAACTAAGTTACCCGCCTGTGGACCTAAGTTACCCACTTGGCCGGCGCCTCTTCTGGGCGCGGCCACCATCAAAACATCCTCGGAGTCGTCATATACGTCGACGACTCCCAAGCATCTGCCGGATGCTTTGGTACCCTGGCAGCCCTCGCGGGCGCCCCGGGTCCTGACAGAGGTGGGAACATGACTCACCAATGCTCTGTCGGACTGCGCAGGGCGGCTGGCACCGATTGCCTTGCCTCGCCAGTCGATCCAGGGCTCGTGCTTCTCAAGCCAGGGCATGCCCAGGATCATATCATATGGATCCATATCGAGAACAGTGAACTGTTCGAGGCTGTCAAAGTCTTCAAACTTGACAGCCAGATCCACTTGGACGTTGGGGACAGTGACGACCTTCCCGTCGGCCAGTCGCACTGACACCGTCCCGTTGCCCTTGCTTTCTCGCAAAGCTTCGGACAACTTGTTGCTGTTACGAGCAACCGTCTGGCGGCGTGCGAAATTCTTCGACGCCCCAGAGTCAATCAAGATTCTAAAGGGGTGATCGTACCCCCGTACACATCCGTGTACTACGAGCAACCCGCCGCTGCTCTTCGCCGATTCGAGAGTGTGAAGACTCTCAGGGGCTAAGTCCCCGTGGTACGCGCCACCCGCGCACCCATCACGAAGACTTAGTTCTTCCCCAGTAGGGCGCCCCGCCCCCTACTGGTTCCTGCGTTCCCTGTCCCCGGGATCCTGGCTTCTGCCAGCGACCCTTGAGGACGGGCTTGGGGAAGGACCGTCTGCGGAGTCTTTCCGCGGGACAGTCGCGCTTGAAGTGGCCCATCTTCCCACAGCCGAAGCAGCGGATGTCACGCTGTTCGGCGGACCCGAGTTCCATGGGAACTGGTCCGTTGGGGCTTGTTCGACCGGGAGCCGACAAGGAACTCCCAGGCCACGCTGAGGCCGGCGTACGCGCCTGGCGACGGCTGTATTCTTCTTGAAGAGCCACTTGAATCGCCTCTTCAAGGGTGCTTGCCTGCACCCGGAACAGCTGAGTGCGTGCGGGGCCCACTCGAAGGCCGTCCATGAACACAGTCATCTTGATGTGTTCATTGAGTGGGTTTCCCACTAGGGACGCCGTGAGCTCCCGTATCTCTTGCACATACTCGTGCAGTTCGCGTCTTCCTTGTTTACACGCGAGGAAGCGCGAACGCTGGCGGTACTCGTAGTTCGCCGGGAGGAACGCGGCTCGGAGCTGTTCGCACAGCTGAGCCCAGGATGTGAAACATCCAGGGGATGTCGCTTCCCGAGTGTACACCCAACTCTTAGCACGACCGCTAAGGTTGGAGAGTGCAAAAGCAACACGCAGTTGCTCGGTCGAGATCAGAGCCGCGTCCATCGCGAGCTCTACTTCTCGGACCCAGAAGTGAAGGTTCTCGCCTTCCTTCCCTTCATACGGCTTTACCTTCAGCCGTATTGGCTTCAGGTGAGCCGGGTTTGCTTCCGCCGCCGGAGCCTGCAGGTCTCCCGCA